TTTTTTTTTTTTTTTTTTTTTTTTTTTTTTTTTTTTTTTTTTTTTTTCCTCCAATAAACGGACATTTATGATACTTATATGGACTATATATTTTGTATTCGTAAAATATATTTTGAATAATTTCTCTTTATCTCTAATGTTTCGGAAAAAAATATATATTACATTTGAAGTAAAGTTTTTAAAACTAGCTACTCTTGAGTAGCTCTTAATTTTTTTTTACAGTTATGAGTAGAAAAAATAAGACTCACATAATAAACAAATTTATATTAAATTTATACGAATTTTTCTGAAAATTTAAACAAATCTGAATCTTTTTTTTTTTTCCCAAAGTTTAATCAGATACTTTGATGTTTGTCATCGAACATTGACGCACGTGTCATTTCTCGTTATCACAAATGAAACTTCAGATTTGTAGCCCAACAGTTTGGAAATAAAAAAAAATACGCTAAATCGCACATGCGATCATATAAATAGCAGGCATACACAAATTTTAGAAAGATTCTCGCCAGTATGTTTGACAAGTAGTTCCTTTGATAAGGAGCATCTTTAAATATTGCTGAAATTCGAATCTATATCAATCTCATTTGTCATTTGTTTACATTCCTAACACATTATCATGTCAATAATCTCGTTCATTACATTTTCATAAAAGTATATTACAGATTACGAAGTAGATACATATTCTGTATAAAAAAAAAATCAATCATATCTTTAGATCTTAGGATATTATATATTATATATTTGATATATTTGATGAAATTCATTTTCTTAAGAAACAAAAGTTATGATAATGAATTCGGTGTGTGTGCGTGCGTGCGTGTGAACTTTTAACAAAACAAGCGAGTGCAATTAAAACAGATAATCTTACTTAAAAATACGATATGTACATGTATAATAGCATTTTTTTATTTGATGACATTTTAACTGCACTCGCCGCGTATCTCTGTTTTCCTGAAAGTTCTTTGTGCACTTCTAACACTTAACGTCATCCGAATACAGAAATGGTCTTATCTAACCTCATGCCCTCTTGTATTTAAAAGAAGATAACATCCAATAGCTACTGATCAAAGTTTCATAAAATAGGTCACGGTTGTCGTAGAGAATACGAAAATTATTCACCTTTTATATATTATAGGTCCTTGATCGGCTACGTCCTCGAGAAGGTGAAACCTTTCAGAAAGATAAGAGCAATATTTTGAAGCATTCGTTCAAGTTTTATAAGGCTATCAACGCACGTGTAGTCATTAGTAATGATTTTAAAAAATGTATTTTTTTTTTATAAACATTTTGCATACGAAATAAAAAAAATTGTCGCTGCAGCCCAGTAATTGATCTCATTATAAATGAGATTGCAAATGAGGAACTTGTTTTCCTACTTAATGTCCATGAAATTGTATTATATTAATACGCCACACCTATTTATTGTTTGTGCATGTCGCAAGTACTGTTGTTAGCTATCAGCTTGAAATTTTTAATCAAATTGACATAAAAAGAATATCATCGAGTAACATGTTACTCAGAACTTATATAAAATTAATCTCTTTCCTGAGCACTACAAGCGCTGCCACTAAAGAATGAGGAAAATTCGATTCGACGCTGTCGATAAAACATGAAAGATGGATAATATAAGTTTTTTACAAAACGTAAAAAAAATAGTTTTAACGTTATGAAAAATAAGAGGATCGATCATTCCTAGACATCGTAGAATATTTGTCAGCCATGCCATATTTCCAGAGACGTATTATTGCGTCTCACGTTATCCAATAACAATGCACACATACTAGGAAATATAATATCGCCAGTATGTGATTCATTTGTAAACGAATGAATATCACGAGCGTGGCGTGCGAACTGATACGCGATGTCAATTAGAAATAGGACGGGCGCGTTTTGATCTACGGCGCCATCAGCCACGCATATTGCTACCCAAAGAATTATGCGATATTGCTTGCATGCGGACTGTAGAATTTCTTAAGTAAGTTTGAATGTGTCCGCTAATTTCAGCGCATACATTTAATTCAATAAAGTTTATAAATAAATATATATATATATTATTATTAATTGCAATAAATGTAGAAATATTACTGTAATAAGGGAATATATCTATAAAATAGAAGAAATCTATAAAATATAGAAAAATCTTTATAATAGTACAATATAAATTTCTTCGTAATGAGTCTGATGTATAACAGATCAATAAAAAATTCAAATTCTTAAGAATTCTAGCGAATTAACCTAATACATACAATTGAAAAGGCAAATTGCACAGGCAATAGAAACAAAAAATAACAGATTTTAATCTATATCAGAACCGTTTTAGTATATGCAATTTCTGAAAAAAGTTGAAATTTGTCATTCCCCATCACTTTTCATATATGTCTCGGGTTTTATTCTACAGAGAGCCACGTTAAAGTCAAGTTGCGCAAACAACTGTTATTCTAATCAAGATCTGTTTGCTTTCAGAACCCTTCTCAGATTGGCTGGAGGAAAAGATAGAGCTGCCTATATTTGAACAAATATCTCTTCCCGAAAATCAAAACAAATCACCGCTGCCGGTTTACTCCACTGTCATTTATCCGCTAACGTTGACGAAGACATTGCAGCAACAGCAACAACAACAACAAGAACAACAACAACAACAACATGATAATACACAAACCCTCTTGCAGGAATTTGAAACGGTTTTGGGTGACGTCGAGGCTTGTCATCAGATCATTCCGCCAATCAGTTCGACGCTTACTCCTCCGCAATCACCCTCGCATAAATCGGTCAATGTGGACACGCAGCTGCTGGTCACTCTGCAGCCTATGGAATCGTTCGCCAACGATCAACCGATATATAATATAACTCCAACAGAACAACCGCTGTATGTGGGCAATATATCACGTCAGTGGAATACCGACAACATAGATTCGTTAAGTCCGCTTGGCGGGGATGTTGCGAACGAGTTAGCGGTGGTGGATGAATACGTTCGTTCACACACCAAGGATATACTGTCTCCTGTAAGTCCATGCAGCTCCAATAGCAGTTCGGCCGACGATTCCATTGACGATCCCGATTGGAGTCTCGAAACTGAGAAAAGAACAAGTCTGAAAGAAACAGTTCATGATTTTTCGAAGCATCGCCTTAAGCCGTATTCTCGATCGTCTCTTGAGGACAAGAAGGTACGAAAAAAAGAACAGAATAAGAATGCTGCCACACGTTATAGACAGAAAAAGAAACAAGAAATCAAAGAGATACAGGGTGAAGAGCGCGAACTGGCGGAGCACAATGAGAAATTAAAAGAAAAGATGAAGAACTTACAGCAGGAGATAAAATATCTGAAGGGATTTATGAGGGATGTCTTCAAAGCTAAGGGTATTCTTAAATAATCCATTTGTTCAGAAACCTTTACCGCCGTACGACAATATCTTGTATTAATTTTATTTAGATATAGGGGAGACCGCAGCAACAAAAGTTTAAACTCACAAAAGTACTTTTAAATATAAGATTTTTTCTCATTTTTTTATATAGATAAAAAATTAAGTATATCTAAAAATGCATGCAACAATCAATATAATACCAATTAATATTAATCTAAACACAGAATTAGTCTAAATAGTCAATGACCCATGATACTATGTAATTCATGCTTGGTCTTCCTTATATTGTTAATTTTATTTTTAGGTTCTTTACATTTTTCTGCCACTAATTGTATTTTACAATTGTACTAATATT